CAAAAAAAAAAAAAAAGAATATATATAGGTTTTACATTTATTTATTTAAGAGATGGGGGTCTCGCTATGTTGTCGAGGCTGGTCTCACATTCCCGGGCTCAGGCGGTCCTTTCGCCTCAGCCTCCTAAATAGTTGGGACTCTAGGCGCACACCAGGCAGGTTTTATTCTCAAAGGTAAAGAAGGCGCTAAGGCCTAGATGCTGATGCGGATTTCCCAGGTGTCCCCCAAGGTTTGAGCCCGCCTACACCTCGCTGTATGCGGGCAGCGTTGCTGCGCATGCGCGCGGATAGAGCCGTAAGATGGTAGCGCGGCCGCCAGGAGGCGCAGCCAAGTCGCGGCTGTTCTTCCTCGTTCCCAGAAGCCTGGGCGGGGACTTAGGAGTCGACGCAAACTCTGTGCGCCTGCGCGCCGCCTGCTCACTCAGCCAACATGGCGCCCGTGGAGCACGTTGTGGCGGACGCTGGGGCTTTCCTGCGGGATGCGGCTCTGCAGGTACGGGGAGCTCCTTCCTGGACCAGAGAGATCTCGGCTGGCCGCCCCTCAGGGAGAGCCTTGAGTCGAGCGGAGCGTTACTTGGTGCGGGCGGGTCTGAGCTGGGGCGGTCTGTCCGCAGGACATCGGGAAGAACATTTACACCATCCGGGAGGTGGTCAGTGAGATTCGGGACAAGGCCACGCGCAGGCGGCTCGCGGTCCTGCCCTACGAGCTGCGGTTCAAGGAGCCCTTACCGGAATACGTGCGGCTGGGTGAGTACCTCTGCCCCAGCTTTGACGGAAAGCTGGGGTCCAGGGCGCAGATGGCACACACTTGGGCGTGAGTTGGGGTCTGGCTGCCTTATCAGAGCAGTGGATTTAAAACCAAAACTTTTTTTTTCTTTTAACTTTTTTCTCTTTTTTTAAGACGGGGTTCCACTATGTTGGTCTTGAACTCCCGACCTCAGGTGATTCGCCCGCCTTGGCCTCCAAAGTGCTTGGATTACAGGCGTGAGCCACCACGCCCTGCCAAAACCAGCACTTTGTAAGAGATCGTGGTGGGAGAGCGGCTTCCTGGGCCTGGAGGCAACCAGTAACTAGCTGTATGCCCTCGGGCATAGCATTCAAATTTTGACCTCAGCTACCTCCTCTGCAAAATGGGAATAATAATAGTATCTGTCTCCAAGGTTGCTGTGAGCATTAACTGAGGAATATAGCAGTCAGCACAGTGTCAAGCACTTTGCAAACACGCAGTAAATTTATTTGTATTTAGGAGTTTGGATCTCTTCCTAATCCCTTGTCCGTTTCTTTTCAGATTAGTCTGATAACTGGATATAAAGATCTGCACCTGGCAGGTCTTTTTATAAAGGTAGTGCTTTTAGGCATTAAATGTGAAAGAAAATTAGGCCAGGTGCAGTGGCTTAAGCCTGTAATCCCAGCACTTTTGGAGCCTGAGGTGGGTGGATCACCTGAGGTCAGGAGCTTGAGACAAGCGTGACCAACGTGGTGAAATCCCCATCTCTACTAAAAATACAAAATTAGCTGGGCATGGTCGTGTGCTCCTGTAATCCCAGCTACTTGGGGAGGCTGAGGCCGGAGAGTTGCTGATGCAGGAGAACCTGGGAGGTGGAGGTTGCAGTGAGCTGAGATTGTTCCACTGCACTCCAGCCTGGGCGACAGAGCAAGACTCCATCTCAAAAAAAAGAAAGAAAATATAGCAATTTTCTCTTGGCTTAGGAGTCAACGTTGTTCTCTTGTTTCGAATCAGGGCAATACCTAGGAAAGGCTCCGCAGTGGTTGGAAGTGTTTTAGAGGCTAGAGGCTGATAGTAGAGATGATGTTACCTCCTCTCTGATTTTTACAATTTTCTTCTCCAACTCAGTAGCTTTGTGATCTTTGCCAACTTACTAAATCTTTCCGAGGACGTACTAATATGCTTCTGAAGATTGGCAAATGATGAAATGAATTAACAGGTAAAGCTTTTAATGCAGTGTCCAGTACACAGTAAGTGCACAGTAAATTTTCGTTGCTGTGAATGTCTGTTTTTTAGGAAATAAGAGCAGTATATCTAGTGTTCCTTGTACCAGTGTGGCAGAGGACATCTTTCTGTTAATTTCAGGAAATTTTAAGTGTTTATTATGGATGACTCTGAAGAATAACAGCAGTTAAACAGCTGACATTTACTATGCATTAAGCACATGTTTTTTGTTTCTTCATAAACTACTAAAATTACAAGTTGAGCATCCTGGATCCGAAATCCACAATGCTCCTAAATCTGAAACTTTTTTTTTGTTTGTTTTTTTGAGATTGCGTCTTGCTGTGTTGCCCAGGCTGGAGTGCAGTGGCATGATCTCAGCCTACTGCAGCCTCCACCTCCTGGATTCCAGCAATTCTCCAGCCTTAGCCTCCTGAGTAGCTGGGATTACAGGCACAGGCCACCACACTAATTTTTGTATTTTTAGTAGAGACGGGATTTCACCATGTTGGCCACATGGTCTAGAATTCCTGACCTCAAGTGATCTGCCCACCTCAGCCTCCCAAAGTGAAGCATGAGCCACTGCGCCCAGCCAGCTTACTTTTTTTTTTTTTTTTTGGAGGAGTCTCACTGTGTCCCTCAGGCTGAAGTGCAGTGGTGAGATCTCGGCTCATTGCAACCTCCACCTCCCAGGTTCAAATGATTTTTCAGCCTCAGCCTCCTGAGTAGCTGGGATTACAGGCATGTACAACCACACCCAGACACGTTTTATATTTTTAGTAGAGACTGGTTGGCCAGGCTGGTCTTGAACTCCTGACCTCAAGTGATCTGCCTGCCTTGGCCTCCCAAAGTGCTGGGATTATAGGTGTGAGCCACTGCACCTGGCCCTGGCCAACTTTCTGCTTTTTCCACTGCATTTGATAAGGATGTGACAGTAAACCTAACAGGCATGAATCTTGGTGGTAGATAATACAAATTTTTCAACTATAAATAGGAAAAGGTCAGAAAATGGATGAAAGTGTTATGGTTTTCATGACGTAGTGATCCTTTCTAAATTGTGTTTTTGATAATTCCATTGGTTATCCAAGGTCATACAGCTTTTTGCCTCTAACTGAAGATGGAAATCTCTTGTTTACAGTAACTGAGTTTTCAAAGAAAACAGGAGACTACCCCAGCCTCTCTGCCACGGACATCCAAGTGCTTGCGCTTACATACCAGTTGGAAGCAGAGTTTGTTGGGGTGTCTCACCTAAAACAAGAACCACAGAAGGTAAATCAAGAGAATGGGTTTTTAAAAGCTTTTTATTATGGGAACTATCAGATATACAAAAGTAGAGGGACTCGTGTAATGGAGCCAGGGTCCCCGTCATCCCCCTCCACTGTATATCATAGCTAGTCTGTGTTCATCTACGCTGATCTGTAGCCCTCAGTATTCTAAACTCAGACATCGTATGCTATTTTACTGATGGATATTTCTTGGTATGTCTTTTAAGATCAAGACTCTTAAAAACTGCAAAACCATCATTACACCTACACGAAATTAATAGTAATGCCTAATATCAAATATCCAGTCAGTGTTCACATTTCCTAGTTGTTTTGTAAATGTTAAGAGTTTGGATCAGGATCCCACTGAGGTTCGTACATTACAGTCAGCAAATGTATCTCAGTCCCTTTTTTTCCCACCTTGAGCCAGGGTCTAGCTGTGTTGCTCAGGCTGGTCTCAGAACTCCCGGGCTCAAGTGATCCTACCACCTCAGCCTCTTGATTAGTCTATTTTGATCTGTAGGTTTTTGGGAAAGGTTGTTTAAATTTGGAAAAATGAAAAAGAATAAAAATATATCGGTACATAATAATTTAAAAAACAATTCCTTCTGGCCAGGTGCCATGGCTTATGCCTATAATCCCAGGGCTTTGGGAGGCCAAGGTAGGAGGCTCACTTGAGCCTAGGCATTTGAGACCAGTGTGGGCAACCCCATGTCTAAAAAAAAAAAAAGCAAAAGCTAGCTAGGCATGGTGGTGTGCACCGGTAGTCCCAGCTACTTGAGAGGTTGAGGCAGGAGGATCACTTGGGCCCAGGAGATTGAGGCTGCAGTGAGTTGTGATCATACCACTGTGCTCCAGCCTGGGTGACAGAGTGAGACCCTGCCTCAAAAAAGAGAGCTTTTTGGGGGTAAAAAAGGAGGAACACTGAGTACTTACAAGTGTTTTCAAGGCTTGCTTCCTTCAAAACTTGGACTTCCTATTGTGCTTTTAGGGTTTTGCCCAGCGTGGCCGGGTTGAGGAGACTGATAAATTTGTGCATGGGCCCACTATCTATTTCTAAGCCAGAAGATTTTAGAAGCCAAAAGCTTTAATAATAATTCATTTGCAATAGTGTTGACAAAGAATTGCTTAATCTTCCCTGCCTAAAGTCATCAAACTATGATGAACTCATATTTTTGCACTAGTTGAAACTACCCTCAGTTTTTTTTTATTTTTCAGGAGAGATGGGGTCTCACTGTGTTGCCCAGTCTGGTCTCAAACTCTTGGGACCACCTTGACCTCCCAAAATGCCAAGATTACAGGCATGAGCTACCACACTTGGTTTTTTGTTGTTGTTGGTAGTGTTTTAATGAGACAGTATCTTGCCATCACCCAGGCTGGAGTACAGTGGTGCTGATCACAGCTCACTGCAGCATCAAACTCCTGAGCACAACCAGTCCTCCTACCTCAGCCTCCCAGGTAGCTGGGACTATCGGTGTACATCACCACACCTGGCTAATTAAAGAAAATTTTTTATGGAGAGAAGGTCTCACTTTTGTCCAGGCTGATCTCAAACTCCTGGCCGAAAGCAATCCTCCTACCTCAGCCTTCCTAAGGGCTGGGATTTAGTGAGCCACTGCATCCAGCTATTTTTTTTTTTTTTTTTTTCTCCAATTTTTTTTTAAACATTGGGTGTCAGCCAGCTGTGGTGGCTCATATATGTAATCCTAGCACTTTTGGAGGCTGAGTTGGGCGGAATGGATCACTTGAAGCTGGGAGTTTGAGACCAGCCCGGACAGCATGGTGAAACCCTATCTCCACTAAAACATGCAAAAATTAGTGGGGATTGGTGGTGCATGCCTGTAATCCCACCTACTTGAGAGGCCGAGGCAGGAAAATCGGTTGAACCTGGGAGTCGGAGTTTGCAGTGAGCCGAGATTGTGCCACTGCACTCCAGACTGGGCAACAGAGCAAGATTCTATCTCAAAAAGAAAAAAAAAAAACAAAAATGGGTATCTTTAATTTTGATAACCAGGGGTAAAATGTGTTTTTTGTTTTTTTAAAGGTTAAAGTGAGTTCATCAATTCAGCACCCAGAAACACCTCTGCACATTTCTGGTTTCCACCTTCCCTCCAAGGTAATTTCTTAGACAAGCTGTGCTCTTCATGCTCTTTTCTGATCCATAAGTTATCTGTTACAGGGAACCAAATTTACATGGACCAATAACACAGTTTGTCCAGTCCTGTCTGATCTGACTTGTATGTCATACATGATTTCATCTGTAACCTGAGATGCTACAGATGAATTTTCAGGTTTTAAAATTATTTCTTTTAATTTCAGCCTAAACCCCCACAAGAAACAATAGAGAAAGGACGCCTAGCTTGTGAGCCTGAGAACCTGGAATTTAGTTCCTTCATGTTCTGGAGAAACCCTCTGCCCAACATTGATCATGAACTGCAGGAACTGCTGGTGAGGCCTTGACTTTTGGTTTCCCTGACGACCCTTCTCCCCACTGCTCCTGTGGGCTGGGAGTTTGAAACGTCTGTTTATGTTTCAGATTGACAGAAGTGAGGATGTTCCAAGTGAGGAGGAGGAGGAGGAGGAGGAAGAAAACGGGTTTGAAGACAGAAAAGAAGACAGCGATGACGATTCGGGTGGCTGGATAACCCCCAGCAACATCAAGCAGATCCAGCAGGAGCTGGAGCAGTGTGACGTCCCCAAGGACGTCCAGGTCGGCTGCGTGACCACAGACTTTGCCATGCAGGTGGGTCGGGTGGGCCTGGGCCGTGTGTCACACATGTCATCAGCAGTGGTGTTACCGAGGTGTGCAGATGTACACAGAGCTGGTGCTGTGCAGCACTTCTTTTCTGGTTCTAGAAACTACTTGTGCCCTTTGGTGATTTTTAGTTTTGCTTAGAGACTAGACAGTCACATGATTCAGCGACAACATTTGTTGTATCGTACATTTTTCTTTTTTGAGACAGAGTTTCACTCTTGTTGCCCAGGCTGGAGTGCAATGGTGTGATCTCGGCTGACCACGACCTCCACCCCCAGGTTCAAGCAATTCTCCTGCCTCAGCCTCCCAAGTAGCTGGGATTAACAGGCATGCGCCACATGCCTGGCTAATTTTGTATTTTTAGTAGAGACGGGGTTTCTCCATGTTGGTCAGGCTGGTCTCGATCTCCCGACCTCAGGTGAGCCACCGCGCCTGGCCTGTTGTATAGTACATTAAATTTACTGTTTATTATATATATTTTTTCTGCATATATAACGTCATGTGGTCAGTCAGGTTCTTAAAGAGGGTTTTTGGCCCAGAAATAAATGTATTTGCCCCAGACAAAATAAATGTCTGTTGAGAGTGTTTGCTAGTGACAGGTCATGGAAAATGATGAGGGCAGGCTGCAGGGTGGTGTTAGAAAGACACCTGGGTCCTCCTCGTTTACACATCTTGAGAGGCCTCCCAGGCTGTTTCCTTAGCAAAAGCCAAGGAATTTGGGCAAAGCAGAGTTTGTGAAGTTCCCCTAACTGTGATTACAAAATTAATGTGAAAAGAAAATTGAGTTCTTTCCGTATTTAACTTGTGGCTATAGAATGTTCTGCTGCAGCTGGGGCTGCACGTGCTGGCGGTGAACGGCATGCTGATCCGCGAGGCCCGGAGCTACATCTTGCGCTGCCACGGCTGTTTCAAGTACGTAGCTGGTGACCTGGCCCCAGTGGCCTCTGTGGAACACTCTTCCTGTTTCTTTGTTTTGAGACAGAGTCTTGCTTTGTCACCCGGGCTGGGGTGCGGTCACTGAAACCTCTGCCTCCGGGTTCAAGTGATACTCCTGCCTCAGCCTCCTGAGTAGCTGGACTATAGGTGCATACCACTGCACCAGCTAATTTTTGTATTAGTAGAGCCGGGGTTTCACCATGTAGGTAAGGCTGGTCTTGAATTCCTGACTTCAAATGATCCATCCACCTTGGCCTCCCAAAGTGCCGGAATTACAGGTATGAGCCACCATGCCTGGCCCACTCTTCCTGTTTTGCAGAGTTGTTTAAAGAGAGCCCTGTATTATGTATGTGTGTTTCTCCTACCTTGTCATTCCTCTGGGGCCTGGGTTCTGTCTCCACCAGGGCACTGAGAACTTGGGGACAGAGGTTTCCAGTGATCTCCCACCTTCTCTCAGTGGCATAGGGTTAGGGACGTGGGTTTTGGAACAATGAGCCTCATTCTTCAGGGGTACATACTAAAATGTTTGGCCATGGAGAGTCTGGGATTTGCTTTGACATAATCCACAGGTAGAAGGAATGGGTGGGGGTGGAGGTGAAACAAGACTGGCCATGAATTCAGAGTTTTTGAAGCTGGGGGGTGATGGATACGTGGGGGTTTGTTATGTTCTTCTGTCTGCTTTATGCTTGAGAGATTTTTTATTCATAAAAAGAAGAGTACATGGATTCAAATGCAGATTCTGGGTCCTGCTGCCTGTGTAATTTTGCAAAAGCTGATTCACTTCCCTGTGCTTCAGATTGTTTTTCTTTGAGATAAGGTCTCACTATGTTGCCCACGCTAGTATTGAACTCCTGGCCTCAAACAATCCTCTTACCTCAGCTTCCTAAAGTGGTGAGATTATAGGTGTGAGCTAACCCGCCTGTCAGATTCTCTTTTTCTTTTCTTTTTTTTTTTTTTTTTTTGAGACGGAGTTTCACTCTTGTTCAGGCTGGGGTGCAACGGCACAATCTCACTGCAACCTCCGACTTCCAGATTCAGGCAATTCTCTTGCCTCAGCCTCTTTAGTAGCTGGGACTACAGGCGTGTGCCACCATGCCTGGCTAATTTTTTGTAGAGTTTCACCATATTAGCCAGGGTGGTCTTGATCTCCTGACCTCGTGATCCACCTGCCTCCCAAAGTGCTGGGATTCCTCCCAAAGTGCTGGGATTATAGGCGTGAGCCACTGAGCCAGGCCCAGATTCTTGTTTTTTGTTGTTGTTGTTTTGTTTTTTGTTTTTGTTGTTTTTGAGACAGAGTCTCACTCTGTTGCCTGGAGTGCAGTAGCACAATCTAGGCTCACTGAAGTTTCTGCCTGCCGGGTTGAAGTGATCCTCCTGCTGCAGCCTCCTAAGTAGCTGGGACTACAGGGCACCCGCCACCATGTCACTAATTTTTTTGTATTTGTGGTGGGGACGGGGTTGACTGTGTTGGCCAGGCTGGTCTCAAATGTCTCAGCTTAAGTGGTTCACCTGCCTTGGCCTCCCAAAGAGCTGGGATTGCAGGTGTGAGCCACCACACCCGGCCCTGTCATATTGGTAATAAGATTGAGAAGATGGTTGTGAGGAACTAGGAAGACAGTCAAGGACTCTGGTATCCAACACATAAGCAGCATGCGTGTCGGGTGGGTGAACTGTTAGTTTCTTGACCACTGCCTTCTTGTTGCTTTTCTGGCTCTTGAGTTTGTTCCTGTGTTGGGGGCTGCTGTTCTGTAGGGAGGCCTCTGGGACCCTGGAGACCATCTGGTTGGCTTGGAATAGCCTCTGCTTCAGCCTCGCTTGTGGAGGGTGGCCTGTGGGCTTGCTCTGGGGTGGTATCTGCCATTCTGCAGGCTCAGGCTGGGTCTGGGGGGCATCACGTAGATCATCTGGTGGTGCCCTTGCTGTAGAGGCCCATGAGGAACTTTCTAAATCATCTGAGGTGCCTAACTAGGTCCCCAGCTCTTCCACTGGGCAGGGAGAGTTGCCTCTGTGAAGCCTTATTCCCTGAAGGCCTGAGCATAACCCAGCACTCAGGCTCTCCCAGCCACTGTGGCTCTGCTGGTGACAGCCAGTCACTACTGAGAGCTGCCTGTACCTTCCTCTGAAGCTTCCTGTCATTTCGCTGTTTCAGGCTCATGACAGTAAAGCTCTTGGCTTCATAAAATTCCATTTTGGGGGCTGGGCGCGGTAGCTCACGCCTGTAATCCAAGCACTTTGGGAGGCCGAGGCGGGTGGATCACAAGGTCAGGAGTTCGAGACCAACCTGACCAACATGGTAAAAACCCATCTCTACTAAAAACAGAAAAATTAGCCGAGGTGTGGTGGCGGCACGTGCTGGTAATCCCAGCTACTCGGGAGGCTGAGGCAAGAGAATTACTTGAACCCAGGAGGCAGAGGTGGCCATGAGCCAAGATCGCACCACTGCACTCCAGCCTACATGGGCAACAGCAAGACTCTCCAAAAAAAAAAAATTGCTTTTTCTTCAACATTCTTTGTTACAGAAGCACTAAAGTCTCCAAATTAATACTCAGTTCTTAGAAACACTTGGAGTGTTTTTCATTCTTGTCAGATTAGCCCCGTGACTGCACAGTTTGTTGTACAAAATAATGAAGCCCCAGCACTTGTTAGGAGGTGCTTAGTTCACTCACAAGATTTCGGGTAGGGCCTCTGGCTTCTCCTGCTGTTCCACCCAGCTTGTGTGTCTTGACCATTGAGAACCGATGGAGAACTACTGGAGGGCAGGGACCTGGGCCACTGCTGTGCCGTTGACAGCAGCAGCTTTCTCCTGTCCAGGGTCCTCTGTGAGTGCCTGCATGGATAGGCAGGGAAGGCTTGGGTATGTCCTCAGCACCCGGGCTTACTTCAGCCAGGGCAGTGTTAGTGGTTCCCAACTCACTGATAAGTACACTCTGCCGCCTCCAGAGCCAATGTTAGAGTTAAAGTCAGAGTTAATACCCAGGCTGACATTTGGAGACAAGGTAACTCATGGCATAATGAGGCGCCCCTCGAGAAAGTGCCTTGATATGAAGGGCCTTGATTCTGGAGCCAGACTGACTGGGTTTATCTGCCATGGACCAGCTGGGTGACTTTGAGCAAGCTGCCATCACTTGCCTCAGTTTCCCCATCTGTAAAATGGAGATGGTGCCATCCTCCCAGGAGGAGTGAGGTGAATCCTACAGAACAGAGCCTGGGCGGTGTGTAGGAAGGGTTCGGGATTCACCTAACTGCATGCTGCTCACTTTCATGCTTCCTTATCTGCTCCTTTTGGGGTTTATCTGCACCCTCGGAGGGATGTGGCAGCCATTTGCTGACAGCTTCAGCACGAGGCGCGGTGGCCTCCGTCTCTGTGACATGTGGTGCGTTTCAGCCCTTTTCTTCTCCTGAGGCCTGAGACCCACCTCGTGTTCTGGAGAGGTATTTGCTGCCTGTGGCTTTGGTACAGAGCATCTCCTTCTGTGTCTCCCAGGACAACCTCTGACATGAGCCGAGTGTTCTGTTCACACTGTGGGAACAAGACCCTGAAGAAAGTGTCCGTGACTGTCAGTGACGACGGCACCCTGCACATGCACTTCTCCCGCAATCCCAAAGTGCTGAACCCCCGAGGGCTCCGGGTAAGTGGCACCTCTCCCCGCCCCTCCCAATGCCAAAATCGAAAAGAACAAAGGACAAAAGAGAACCTAGTCTGGTCGTTTCTGGAAGATCCAGGATTGAAAGCCTGTGACCTAGGTACCAAAACGGAGTGGGGAGAGAGTGTGACAAATGCCATCTAATGAGTAAGTGACCAGTCTGCAGTTGCAGCTCATGAACGGGGAGCTCATTGGGAGGAAGGCAGAGGGTTAGATCTGTGCAGAAGGTAAAGGATAGGCTGGGTCTCCTGAAGCCCATGACCCAGAGAGGAAGGGGTGTGGAAAGCACGGCACAGAAGAGGGCTGGATGGGCTGGACACACAGCAGCCGCTGACGCTGAAAATCAGGAGGAAAGGACTGGGGGACGAAGTAGTGGCACCGGCTTCTGCCAGCAGCAAAATAGCCCTGCATGCATGAGAAGAACCTTTTTTCTTTCAATTTATAGTTGTAAAAACAGTACAAACAATTCCTTTTTTTTTTCTTTGAGACAGAGTCTTGCTCTTGTCACCCAGGCTGGAGTGCAGGGACACAATCTCAGCTCACTGCAACCTTTTTCTCCTGGGTTCAAGCAATTCCCCTCCCTCAGCCTCCCAAGTAGCTGGGATTACAGGTGCCTGCCACCACACATGGCTAATTTTTGTATTTTAAGTAGAGACTGGGTTTCACTATCTTGGCCAGGCTGGTCTCAAACTCCTGACCTAGTGATCTGCCCACCTTGGCCTCCCAAAGTGTTGGGATTACAGGCGTGAGCCACTGCGCCTGACCTGTTTTTTGTGTGTGTGTTTTGTTTTGTTTTTGAGACAGCGTCTCACTCTGTCACCTAGGCTGGAATGCAGTGGCGTGATCTCGGCTCACCGCAACCTCCGTCTCCTGGGTTCAGACAATTCTCCTGCCTCAGCCTCCTGGGTAGCTGGGATTACAGGCACGCGCCACCATGCCCAGCTAATTTTTTGTATTTTTAGTAGAGACGGGGTTTCACCATGTTGACCAGGATGGTCTCGATCTCTTGACCTCGTGACCCACCCGCCTCGGCCTCCCAAAATGCTGGGATTACAGGCTTGAGCCACCGCGCCCGGCCGCAAGGACTTTATCTTATGTAACCACAGTATAATTATCAAAATCAACAAGTCAGCATTGCTGTGATACTACTGTGTCATCTGCAGACCCAAATTCAGATTTGGCCAGTTGTTCCACAAATTTCCTTTCTAACAAAAGGGGATTTTTTGGGCCCAGAATCCAGTCTAGGATAACATGTTGCATTCCGTTGTCTCATCTTTTTTCAACTGGAGTCCTTTCTTAGTCTTTTGTTTTCCATGACCTTGAAATTTTTTAAGAGTATGAGCCCGTTTCTTTGCAGAACGTCCCTCCCTTTGGGTGTGTCTGGTATTTCCGTGGGATTTGAGATGGTGGCTCTGCATTTTTGGCAGGAACACCCCAGAAGGAATGCAGATGTGTCCTCCTCAGGGTGTCGTTTCAGAGGGTAAATGATAACTAGTTGGGTAATTTACTGGTGATACTGACTTTGATCACTTGTTCAGTGGCTTCTGCCACCTTCATCCACTGTAAAGTTATTTATAATTAATAATTTGTGGAAAGAGACTGAGACTATGTATATGTTATTTCTCATTGAACTTAACTAAAGTTGCCTTGAACGGTTGTTAAAGTCATGATTGCCAAATGTCGATTTTTTTTTTTGAGATGGAGTCTCACTGTGTCACCCAGGCTGTAGTACACAGTCTCAGCTCACTGCAACCTCTGTCCCCTGGGTTCAAGCGATTCTCCTGCCTCATCCTCCCAAGTAGCTGGGATCACAGGCACCTGCCACCGCACCTGGTTCATTTTTGTGTTTTTAGTAGAGCTGGAGTTTCACCATCTTGACCAGGCTGGTCTTAAACTCCTGACCTTGTGATCCACCCGCCTCAGCCTCCCAAAGTGCTGGGATTACAGGTGTGAGTCACCGTGCCTGGCTACCAAATGGTGACTTCTATCATTATTTCTGTGTTTATGTCTTGGTATTCCACTATAAAGAGGAATTTTCCTTTTATTCCCATTTATTTCTATGAGTGTGGTCTTGTGGATTTTTGTTTCAGTCTGAAGGTTGTGATCTGTCACTGTCATTTTGAGCCTCACAGTGTGCCATGTGTGGCCAGTGGGAGCCCTTTCGAGATGGCTCCTGCGTTGACAGATCACAGGTATTCTTTGAACACAACTTTCTGGCACAACAAGATGTTCCTCAACTCTTAGGATCTGCCATTTCTCTCGGGACCTCTGGTTTTTCATGTAGGATGGTTTTTAAAAGTAAAGTTTCAGGGACTGGGCGTGTTCGTTGTCCTGGGGTGTCACTACGTCTTGGCTCCGATGGACAGAGCTAGGAATTATGTACATATGTATATAAATACACACTGGAAATGTTTATTTCTGTATTGTCTTACTGAGTCAAAATACCATGTTCCGTTTTTCATGTGTGAGTTGAGGTGAGAATCAGGTGGGAGGCAGCTGCATGTCACCACAGTTACCATGCACTGTCATTAGGATCTGCAAGGTCGGCTGCACCTTATCAGCTGTGGCCTTGTGTGACTGTGGATCCCTTTCTTCTAACGGCCATTCCTTGTCTTATTTCCAGTACTCGCTTCCCACTCCCAAAGGGGGCAAATACGCCATCAACCCCCATCTCACCGAGGATCAGCGCTTCCCCCAGCTACGACTCTCCCGAAAAGCCAGGCAGAAAACCAATGTGTTTGCCCCCGACTACACCGCTGGGATGTCACCCTTCGTAGAGAATGACATCTCTAGCCGCTCAGCCACACTGCAGCTCCGGGACAGCACCTTGGGAGCTGGGCGGAGACGCTTAAATCCCAATGCTTCCAGAAAGAAGTTTGTGAAGAAAAGGTGAAATGCGAGTTCCCATAGACAGACTGGATGGCTGTGGTGGCTGCTGAGGAGTTCCAGTGTCCCATTTCCCCAGGCGGGTGTCACAGTGCAGCCTTGCCTGGCCATGCTCTGCTGGGTCAGCAGGGAACTGGGCCGTCTGTAGCCTGTGAAAATGCGGACCGCCTGGCCGCCTGCCACATGAAGGAGAATTAGATAAAAACAGAAAGACCACCACCCTGGATCCAATCTTCAAGAAAGGACTTTCCAAAGGAGAATATTTTTCTAATAAATGTGGCTGCAAGCTCCAGCACATTTTTATTAAACAGGCCAAATTTCTGCTGCTTAGGTCATGTCAAGGCCAACACTTGAGCTGCATGCTCAGAGATCAAGCATTGAGATTTATCTTTCTGCCAGAAAATACAAGGTTATAATAAAACTAAGGACTACCATTTTCTTTTCCTTTTCACCTTTTTTTTGAGACAAGTTTCCATCATTCTGGAAAGTGCAGTGTGGTGAGCTCCCAGACGGCCTTTCACCTGGATTCTCCACGGTTCTGCCTCATCTGCTTTTTCTGCACACACAGTCACAAAGTATAAGTCTCCTAGGAAAATGATATTCTTTTACATAACCACAGTAGTCAGCAAATTCAAGAAGTATCACGGTACGTTACTATTACCTCATATAATCAGCACTGGAAATCACCGTGTATCAGTTCATAGAGATCTTCATTTTTCAGCTGCCTCGTATTGTCAAGAGCTACCAAACAAACTCTCTGTTAAGTACTTACCCGACTTTAGCCTGTTTAATCCATAGAACGTTAATAAAGGGTATGGCTGCTGCAGTCCTGAGCTGCAGGAGGTTAAAAGAGTTTAACCTCAACGTAGCTTAAAAGTGACAGCCTGCGAGTGGCCAGGCCAAGATTTCAACTTTGTCTGTGCTTTTAAGTAAATGTGCCAGTGGAGACGGTAGGAAGGAGGGTGAACACTGCCTGCTTTCTGTCTCCATCTTTCTGAAACTCCTGCTCTTAGGAGGATTGATGGCTTGACACCTACCTGGAGCACAGGGTGCTGGGGGAGAGGTGAGTGGTTGTTAGAGCCCGGGGTGACTCCAACATGCCCTTTCCACTTTCCCCATACTCTGTTCTGTCAGACATAGAGAAGGGTAATAGGCGAGGCATGGTGGTCTGTTCTGTCAGACATAGAGAAGGGTAATAGGCGAGGCATGGTGGCTGATGCCTCTAACTCCAGCATTTTGGGAAGTTGAGGCAGGATCACTTGAGCCCAGGACACAGCGAACAACCTAGGCCAGAAGAATGTCTAGAGAGAATATAAGAAGGTAAGGCTCTTAGCGTAATTGCATCCCTCTTGCTCACCATCCTCTTGGAATTCCTTCCCTTTCTCCTCAGTCCCACCTATTTCATTCATTATATGAGGCCGTAAGACTATTAAATAAGACTGGTCAGGATTTGGCCTACAGTCCACATGTAATTTTTTCTTTTTGAGACTGATGCCCAGGCTGGAGTGCAGTGGCACGATGTGCAGCCTCCGCCTCCTGGGTTCAAGTGGTTCTCCTGCCTCAGCTTCTGGAGTAGCTGGGACTATAAGCGTGTACTACCACGCCCAGCTAATTTTTTTTTTTTGTATTTTTAGTAGAGATGGGGTTTTGCCATGTTAGCCAGGCTGTTCTCGAATGCCTGACCTCAGGTGATCTGCCTGCCTTGGACTTTCAAAGTTCTGGGATTACAGGCGTGAGCCACCACGCCCGGCCTCACATGTAATTTTAAAAAGTCATGGACCAGGTGCTGTGGTTCATGCCTGTAATCCCAATAATTTGGGAGGCCAAAGTGGGAGGATCGATTGAGCCCAGGAACTTGAGACCAGCTTGGGTAACATAATGAGACCCCTTGTCTACAAAATATACAAAAATTAGCAGGTGTGGTAATACTCACCCACAGTCCCAGCTACTTTGGAGGCTGAGGTGGGAGGATTGCTTGAGCCCCTGAGGGTGAGGTTGCAGTAAGTTGAGATCACACCACTGCACTCCAGCCTGGGAGATAGAAACCCTGTCTCAAAAGAAGAAAAACTTAGTGGCAGGGCACAGTAGTTCAGGCCTGTAATCCCAACATTTTGGGAAGCTGAGGCAGGCAGATCACTTTTAACTCAGGAGTCCAATACCAGCCTGGCCAACATAGCACAATCCCACAAACAAGCAAACAATAAAACTTAGTGAAACAAGTTAGCTGCACGTGGTGGTGCCTCCTATAGTCCCAGCTACTTGGAAGGCTGAGGTAAGAGGATCACTTGGGATCAGGAGCCAGAGGGGGTTGCAGTGAGCTGAGATCCAGCCACCACACTCCAGCCTGGGTGATAGAGCAAGACTGCCTGTCTCAAAAAAACAAAAGACAAGGCACAGTGGCTCCCGCCTGTAATCCCAGCACTTTGGAAGGCCAAGGCAGGCAGATCACCTGAGGTTGGGAGTTAGAGACCAGCCTGACCAACATGGAGAAACCCCGTCTCTATTAAAAATATAAAATTAGCTGGGTGTGGTGGCCCTTGCCTATAAGCCCAGCTACTCAGGAAGCTGAGGCAGGAGAATTGCTTGAACCCTGGGAGGTGGAAGGTGCAGTGAGCCAATATCATGCCATTGCACTCCAGCCTGGGTAACGAGCAAAACTCTATCAAAAAAAAAAAAAAACAGATGGGGGAAAAAAGACCTGGAGCTCAACCAGGGATTGAGGCCCTGTGTCAGCTATAACCTTAGGGAAAATATAACTTCTCTGAAGCTCATTTTTTTTTTCTTCCTCTGCAGAATAAGAATATCACACGTGTTTCACAGTATTGTGATAAGTAGATAAAACCCTTTAGGAGGGCTGTGCTAGCTGTGAAACCCTGCATCAGTGTGCATGCGTCCATTTCCCCCGAGAGGATTTGTGCAACCTTTTTGTTCGCTTTGAGATAGAATTTTGCTCTTTTTGCCCAGGCTGTAATGGAATGGTGCAGTCTCAGCTCACTGCAGCCTCTGTCTCCTGGGTTCAGGTGATTGTTTTGCCTCAGCCTCCCAAGTAGCTGGGATTGCAGGTACGTGCCACCATGCCTAGCTAATTTTGTATTTTTAGTAGAGACAGTTTCACCATGTTAGCCAAGGCTGGTTCCAAACTCCTGACCTCAGGTGATGTGCCTACTGGTTTTTGTTTTGTTTTGTTTTTGAGATGGAGTCTCAATATGTCACCCAAGCTGGAGTATTTTCCAAAGTGCTGGGATTACGGGCGTGAGCCCCTGAACCTGGCCAGGCTGCTTCTTATGCAGAAAGCATTCCAAGCTTTTGAAACTCATCTCTTCCTAGTTAGTCGTGTGTGGATATGGACAAGGCCTTCCATAATACGTAGCTGAGCTCTTAGCAGAGCATGTTTGGTTTTTTTGTGCTTTTTTTTTGAAGACAGGGTCTTGCTCTGTCACCCAGTCTGGAGTGTGGTAATACAAACATGGCTCACTGCCGTCTTGACCTCCTTTTGAGTTCAAGTGATTCTCCCGTGCCAGTTTCCAGAGTAGCTGGGACTACAGGTGCCCGCCACCATGTGGCTAATTATTGTTATTTTTGGAGAGAGCATATCTCACTTTTTTGCCCAGGCTGGTCTTGAACTCCCGGGCTCAAGCAATCTTCCCATCTCGGCCTCCCAAAATGCTGGGACTACAGGCATGAGTCACTGCGCCTGGCCAGAACCTTTCAAATTACTATCTTGCACCTCTTTTTATTTTTATTTTTTGAGACGGAGTTTCGCTCTTGTTACCCAGGCTGGAGCGCAATGGCACGATCTCGGCTCACCGCAACCTCCGCCTCCTGGGTTCAGGCAATTCTCCTGCCTCAGCCTCCTGAGTAGCTGGGATTACAAGCACGCGCCACCATGCCCAGCTAATTTTTTGTATTTTTAGTAGACACGGGGTTTCACCATGTTGACCAGGATGGTCTCGATCTCTTGACCTCGTGATCCACCCGCCTCGGCCTCCCAAAGTGCTGGGATTACAGGCTTGAGCCACCGCGCCCGGCCCTATCTTGCACCTCTTGATGGCTTCTGCCTTGCAGGAGAGCGAGCTGCCTCCTAGCCCCTTGGTACCTGTAGCACTGGGCTGCAGGGTTAATTTACATTGATTAGGAATGAGTCAAGGCAAAGCAAACAGGGTTCTTATCTCATGTTGCAAATAAGAGCTCTCAAGTGTCCCAGGAGAACCTTATCAAGGAGATGAGATGAGTGAAGTGTTCTCTGGAGTGCACCTCAGGAGTGTGGGAAATCAGAAACTCCCTGATGACTGTGACCACAGCCAGAGATGGTCGCACGAGAGATCAGCAATCTACATGTTCCCACACCCATTCCCTGCTCCTCCAGACAATCTGTGTCTCCTTGCAAAGAAGCAAAGCTCATACTAGAAAAATGTAAGTATTATTAAAAAGCAAACTCGAGAGAGCTCTGTTTATACATATGCCAAGACTGAGCATGCCTTAGTACCAAAGGACGAAGGCAATACAGGTTCTCTGATCTGTATGCGACGTAATAAGGGTATAATAGGCTGGGTGTGGTGACTCATCCCTGTGATCCCAGCACTTTGGGAGGCCAAAGCAGAAAGATCACTTGAACTCAGGAGATGAAGACCAGCCTGGGCAACATGGTGAAACCCACCTCTACTAAAGAAATTTCAAAGATTAGCTGGATGTGGTGGCCCACACCCGTAATCTCAGCTACTCAGGTGGCTGACTCAAGATTCCCTTGAACCCAGGAGGCAGAGGTTGCAGTGAGCCGAGATAGCACCACTGCACTCCAGCGTGGGTGACAGAGTAAGACCCTGTCTCAAAAAAATAAATAGGGAGCTGTGATGGCTCAGGCCTGTTATCTTGGCCCTGGGCAACATAAAACCCTCTCATCTCCATTAATTAATGTATAATACAAATATGCTAGGATGCTTGCTCCCACCAGACAAAAAAAAAACCTATCAATACAAGAATGACTGGACAGAAACAGTTTTATATTTTGTAGCCACATTTAAAAATAAGAATAACCAGGCTGGGTATGATGGGCTCACACCTGTAAACCCAGCGCTTTGGGAGTCAAGGTGGGCAGATCACTTGAGGTCAGGAATTCAAGACAAGCCTGGCAAAAATGGTGAAACCCCAAAAATGGTAAAAATACAAAAAGCTGGGCCTGGTTGCAGGTGCCTATACTCCTAGCTACTCAGGAGGGTGAGGCAGGAGAATTGCTTAAACCTGGGAGGCAGGCAGAGGTTGCAGTGAGTCAAGATGGTGCCAGTGCACTGTTGCCTGGACCACAGAGCCAGACTCTTGTCATTCATTGATAGATAGATAGATAGAACCCCATCTATGTATTCTTTAATTTTTAGAGAAATAAATATAAGAATAACTGACCAGGCTGGGTGCAGTGGCTCATGCCTGGAATCCAGCACTTTGGGAGGCCTAGGTGGGCAGATAGCTTGACTTCAGGAGTTCAAGACCAGCCTGGGCAACATGATGAAACCCCATCTCTACAAAAAATACAAAAAGGAAGCTGGGTATGATGGCATGTCCCTAACGTCCCAGCTACTTGGCTGAGGCAGGAAGACTGCTTGAGTCCAGGAGGTCGAGGCTGCAGTGAGCCAAGGTCACACCACTGCCCTCCAGCCTGTGCAAAAGAGCAAGGCTATCTCAAAAAAAAAAAAAATCTGCAACTCAATTTGCTACCTTGAATACAGTCTCTTCAGAACAAATAAATGTCGTTTTAAAAGAATTTTGAGGTTTTTGTTTTTGTTTTGTCTTTTGAGACAGTCTTGCCCTGTTGCCCAGGCTGGAGTGCAGTGGCACAATCTTGGCTCACTGCAACCTCCTCCTCCCAGGTTCAAGCAATTCTCCTGCCTCAGCTTTCCAAGTAGCTGGGACTATAGGCACATGCCACCATGTCCAGCTAATTTTTGTATCTTTGGTGAAGATGGGGTTTCACCATGTTGGCCAGGCTGATCTTAAACTACTGACCACAGTGATCCACCTGCCTCAACCTTCCAAAGTGCTGGGATTACAGGCGTGAGTCACTGTGCCTGGCAGAAATTTCATTTTAACCAGAGTGTTCCAAGCCCAATAAAGGATGGCCTAATTCAGGTAATACATAACTTACAGAAATTGTAGCAGGACACGGACAAAGGCAGTGGCTCATGCCTCGAATCCCAGCACTTTGGGAGGCTGAAGCAGGTGGATCACAAGGTCAGGAGTTCAAGACCAGCCTGACCAACATGGTGAAACCCTGTTTCTACTAAAAATACAAAAATTAGCTGGGCGTCATTGTATGCACCTGTAATCCCAGCTACTTGGGAGGCTGAGGCAGGAGAATCACTTGAACTTGGGAGGCAGAGGTTGCAGTGAGCGGAGATCACGCCACTGCATTCCAGCCTGGGTGACAGAGTGAGACTCCATCTCAAAAAAAATTACAGCAGGACACACCCAAGCACAGGAAGCCCAACACAATGGTGTGAGTTGTATGCAATAGCGATAGTGGTGGGGTAAGAGGACAAGCAGGGATGGATAGGATTTCTAGTAGAACCTCTTCTACCCTAATACCAAGAATCTGTTCCCCCAAGGGATACATGGCTGGTATCCACAGGAACCACTGAGGATAACAGATACCCAGGTTCCCAGACAGGCTTAAGGATGGCTCTGAGCTAATGTAAAAAGTGTATCATCCACAACACAGAGAAAAGCAAGGGGGCTTTGGGGACTTGTGCAGAAAAGCAGCCACCCAGGTGGACACAATGCATTAGCAGCTGACTCATGAGGATGTTTGTGTTCTTTCATCAGAAGGAGAGGACTCCTGAGAATTCTACTCTTGCTTTTTGTTTCTAGATAACGAAAACAACAAAGCTCTGTGGTTCTGGCCTGCTCCCTGGGGACGTAGGGGGACCCTGAGGACACTGTTTTCAGTTGCTACATAATGCCTGGTACATACTCCTGGGATAGAGGCCTGCTTCAGAAAATACCAGGGAATTGTACAGCCTTGGTACTGAGAGCAAATTAAAGCTGGAAGAAACCGTGAAGCCAGAGAAGAGCACTGGCAGCTGACTGGGAATGAAACTCAAGAATTCTTATTCTAACTCTGAGAGCAAGTTAGGGGTTAGGAGCTGACCGTGGGTCCCAATGGCCTGGGTACAAATTCTGAACTACATCACTGACTGGCTGTGTAATCACAGACAAGTGTCATAACCACTTGGTGTCTCAGTTTCCTTATCTGTAACTTGAGGAAGTTATTCCCTACCTCACACCACACACAAAAATTAATTCAAAGGGGATCAGAGACCTAAATAAAAGAGCAAAAGCTATAGAACTCTTGTAAAAACACACACATGTAAATTTTTATCACCTTGGTTTAGGCAATAGTTTCTTAAATAGTTGCAAAAGCAAACTGATAGAAGGTTGGCTGGGCTTAGGGACTTGCACCTGTAATCCCAGCACTTTGGGAGGCCGAGGTGGACCAATCACCTGAGATCAGGAGTTGGAGACCAGCCTGGCTAACATGATGAAAAAACTTACTTTCCACTTAGCTTTTTTTTTTTCCCTTAAGCGTTTTTGAGACAGTATCACTCTGTTGCCCAGCCTGGAGTGCACTGGCATGATCTCAGCTCACCGCAACCTCCACCTCTTGGGTTCAAGTGGTTCTCCTGCCTTGGCCTCCCAAGTAGCTGGGATTACAGGCACACACTATCACGCCCAGCTAATTTCTGTATTTTTAGTAGAGACAGTTTCACCATGTTGGCCAGTCTGGTCTCAAACTCCTGAGCTCAAATGATCTGCCCGCCTTGGCCTCCCAAAGTGCTAGGATTATAGGCATGAGCCACTGCACCTTATCCTTTCTTAGGGGGCTACTGGAGAATGTAATCCCCCTCACCAAAAAAAAGAAAGAAAAGGTAGGGGAGGAGTAAACCAAAGAGGAAATACGAGATCCAATATAAGAGAGAGACAAAAAGACAGAAAAGACAGAACCCCAGAAAGACAGCAGTGCAGCAAACCTAGAGAATGATGAGCCCAGATTGGGACAGAAGGCTTACAGAAAGACTTTTTCTAGAAGATTAGAACTGATTAGGAAACCTGATGAGTCTGGCTAAATAAAAAGCAGACCAGGCACAGTGGTGCACACCTGTAATCCCAGCACTTGAGGAGGCTGACATGGGCAGATTGAGCTCAGTAGCTCAAGACCAGCCTGGGCAACATAGGAAGACAACTTCTATATAAAAAAAAAAAAAATTTTTTATCAGGCAGAGTGCAGTAGCTCACACCTGTAATCCCAGCAATTTGGGAGGCCAAGGCAGGCCAATCACCTGAGGTCAGGAGTTCAAGACCAGCCTGGCCAAGATGGTGAAAGCCATCTCTACTAAAATGAAAAAAAAATTAGCCAGGGATGGTGGTGTGTGCCTGTAATCACAGCTACTCAGGAGGCCGACGCAAAATAATCACTTGAACCTGGGAATCAGAGGTTGCAGTGAGCTTGAGATAGCGCCACTGTACTCCAGCCTGGGTGACAGAATGGGATTCTGTCTCAAAAAAAAAATTTCTTTTTTAAATCAGCCGGTAGGCCAAGCATGGTGGCTCATGCCTGTAATTCCAGCACTTTGGGAGGCCGAGGTGGGTGGATTACCTAAGGTCGGAAGTTCAAGACCAACCTGACCAACATGGAGAAACCACCACTTTACTGAAAATACATAATTAGCCGGGTATGGTGGCACATACCTGTAATCCCAGCTGCTTGGGAGGCTGAGGCAGGAGAACAGCTTCAACCCAGGAGGCAGAGGTTGCAGTGAGCCGAGATTGTGCCGTTGTACTCCAGCCCTGGCAAGAAGAGTGAAACTCCATCTCAAAAACAAAAAAAAAAAAAGGTGGCCAGGCGCGGTGGCTCAAGCCTGTAATCCCAGCACTTTGGGAGGCCAAGGCGGGTGGATCACGAGGTCAAGAGATCGAGACCATCCTGGTCAACACGGTGAAACCCCGTCTCTACTAAAATATAAAAAATCAGCTGGGCATGGTGGCGTATGCCTGTAATCCCAGCTACCCAGGAGGCTGAGGCAGGAGAATTGCCTGAACCCAGGAGGCGGAGGTT